GTACTACTCGCACCGCCAATGACTCTTCATTAGCTCGATGGTGCGGTACAGCCGTAACACAGTTGTACAATATATGTAGATAGAATAAAAACACAAGTAGCAACTATATGAGGGTAAAATAGCTAATTATCGTCGTCAAGAACAATATCAATGGCTTCGCGTGCCTTCCGAAGTCGAAACATGAAAGTCCAGATGGTCTCCGGCCGTGATCTAGCACGCCGCATTGAAACTGAATCCCTCTAGCCAGAAGGACATCTGCTTGGAGTACAGTGAGTGAACCCTATCTCACGTTAGATAAGGCTCTCCCGCTGTGACCCGTGAACCTGTAGTGTTCAAACTAGGAGCATCACGCTCCTTGGGACATGCGTAAAATCCCTAGGTCTTGTTACGCGGCGGAGTTCAACGCAAGATGGAGAATTCTCTAAGGCGGTCTTTTGTCAATCATTAAAACCAAACGCAGAGGGAGGCTTGGGAGCGGTACGATAATCGGGGTAGCAGAAGGAGATGTGGGGGGCGCTCAGCAATAGCAACTAACGGTCCTGGGGGTTCCTGTGATACATCAGAGCGAGTCGTTTTTTTGATACTTGCGGTAAAAGGTTCAGGGAAAAATGTGGAGTCGAGAGCCGTCAGCAACTTTCCCTCGATCCGACGTCACTGGGAGAGGATGAGGGGTATTGCTCAATTGGGAGAGCATCTGACTGCGACCAAGTTCGATTCTGGGTGTCCGCAATATAGCGAAGAGTAGGGATTTTTAGTACTTGTACGTTCCGGTACTGGAAAGGCAGACGCATCAAGCGAGTTGAGTGATATTCCAGTAGGATAAGTCAATCGAGGTTCATTTTGTATGGTATCGCATTAAGGAGCAAGGTAGTCATATCTCCCTCAGAAACTGGCGGACCTGGTGTTCCCTCAGCGCGCCGGTAAATGTCTTGATGGCCTTGCCTCCCTGGAACGCCACGACGGTTGGAAGTGCGCGCACCTGCATTGGGTTAATACGGGAAATATGCCATGACAATTAGTAAACGCACCTTGAACCGCTGACAGAGTTCCCTTCCCTCCTCTGTATCGCTATTAATGGTGACTAGGTCCAACGGCTGGCGGGACGCAGTCTCGGTCGAAGGATCTTCGGTGAGTTGTTCGAGGATGGGAGAGAGGACTTTGCATGGCTGACACCAACTGCGGAACGTGAGCTTATGAGCGTGGTTGAGCATTTTCTGCTTACTCTGCGTAAAAGTCAACAAGAACGATACGTCCTTCTGCTGTGGTCACTTTTTTAAAGGTCTACGGATGGATTAGGGTGGGTGGAGTCTGTGGAGGGAAGGGACGGACGTGAAAGTCGGCATCTAGGTAGTGCTCGAGACGACGTGGTGTAGTAGAGAAGTGACGTCGAGAGAGACGGGATGCGAGGAACCTGAGTGAAGCCATGGTGGCGGTGAAAAATAGAGGAACAGTGATGTCATCACCGAGTTCTCCGATGCTGATGATCACCATGGGAAACCCAGGCAACGTATAAAACGCGAGAGCAAAAATGCCTCTTCTCTAACCCACGTTCATTATGTCTTTGTTCTTCTTCTTTGCTGTCCTGGTGTCAGCCGTCTGTGTTTCTGCAGCAGACCATTTGGTGACCGTCGGTGACGGAGGAGTGAGTTTGTCTCCTACCTTTACCTTGATTATGTTTCTCACAAAGGCTGATAGATGCTGGCGTTCAACCCAACAAGGTGATTTCCTGTCTGTGCACGCATCTACGCGCCAACTGAGTTCGTTCTGCAGCGTGACCGCCGTCCAAGGAGACACTGTCACCTTTTCATTGTACGTTCTTCCTCCTTCCCACACAGCCACACAGCCTTTCTCACACACCCTCCCTAGTCGTGCCGGCAACCACGTACGCCCCCACATATTATCATCTCCTCATTTATGTAACACGCCTCACAGTCCGCAACACAATCCACGTTCGCCTCCCCCTGCACAAAATCCGGCATCGACTCGGGCTTCGTCCCCATCGCCAACAGCACTGTCTTTGGCCAATGGACATTCACCGTCGACAATTCCTCTACCCCGCTGTGGTTCTTCTGCGCCCAGATGGGTCATTGCGAGAAGGGCATGGTCTTTGCGGTTAATCCCACACAGGAGAAGAGCTTTCAGGCGTTTCTGAGTAATGCGCAGGGGAATGGGACGGCGGGTGTGAGCGCGAGTGTGTCCGGGGTGGCATCGAGTGCTAGCACTAGTGCGGGTACTGCAGCTTCTGCTTCCAGTAGCACTGTCAATGCTGCCGCCTCTAGTACCATCAATGCTGCCGCCTCTAGTACTGTCAATGCTAATACCGCCAGCAATGGCGCCGTGCCCAGTCTGCGCATACATCATGTCATACTCCCAGTAGCGGCTCTGGCTTTTGGTATCCTATTTTAGAACCTTGTACAGGAATACAAGACTTTCTTTTCGATGCTCTCGTGTATGAAAGACGCTATTGGAACGAAGTACTAAAATGGTACATTTCACTGCAATAGTGGATATATATATATATATATCCAGGATTGAACTGGGTCTTTGTCTGTTGCTCTCCCGAGTGAGCTATGCACCCTCCCTCCTCCCGATGTCGAGCGCCTTGAATGAGTGGAGTTGTCGAGGTTTAATGTTGGTCCGATCTACAGGAAAAAGACGCATCTTCTTCAGCGCGAGTAGTAAGTATAAGTTCCTAGGTCTCCTGTTCGCATACCAGAAAATACCGTGCATACACGTGCATTGCAAGTCCCATGCAAGGATGAAACACTTGGGGAACTTGGGAAACCACGTATCACTCGTCCATTAATTCCATAAGGAAATTGATATCCCAGGGAGCGAACCGCAGGCTATGCAACCCCCTCGAAACGTGGCGTATTATACCAAAATAACTGCCGTAACTAACGAGCCATAAACTGTCCACTTCCCCTCTTGCGCATCACGTCAAGAGATGGCTCCAGCGAATAAGTTCTGCTTCCCCATCCCGGCAGTATTGGAGAGCGAGCGCGTCAAATTGGTGCCTTTTGATGTAAGCTGCGGGGGCCTTGAAAATATGATAATTATTGACACTCACGTTGTGTCAAGCTTGCTGTTCACACGAAGCTATTCATCACAGCCTACTCTGATGTCAGCCTCTACGATTTCATCCCCCTGGGTCCATACAAGGATAAAGAAGAGTTTATCGCCTCTTTAGGTGAGATGGTGGAAGGTAATGATGGGATGACTATGTTTGCGGTGTATGACAAGACCAGAACCAAGGAGGAAGAGGGGTATGCAGGACTCGTTGGCTACGTGGACTCGTCAGCCCAAGATCTAGTTACAGAAATCTTCGTGATCATCGCTCCGGCATTCCATAGGACGCACGTAACGTCCAACGCTATCGGGATCCTCTTGAAATACGCCCTTGATCTGCCCGGTGGTGGCCTTGGCTTGCGGAGAGTGGTTTGGCAGGCCAGTGTGGCCAATACCGCTAGTATCAGGACGGCGGAGAGGATGGGGTTCCGGCGGGAGGGAGTTCTGAGGTGGCATAGAGCGTGGCCTGAGGCCAAGTCCCGTGGTGCGAATGGAATTCGTGTGAGAAAGGGAGATCCTAGGGAGGAAACGTTTCCGTTGGGACGGGATACGGTGGTTTTGAGTGTTTGTTGGGATGATTGGGAGGGTGGGGTGCGAGCACATGTTGAGGCGACGATGGCGCGAACAGAATAAGTAGCCATTCCCGTCAGTGTCGATTCGGACCAATTGGAGACGAGACCATTATCCAGTGCCGCTTGCAAGTTATTTGTACTTCGAGTTCTGAAACTCCAGAATAACAACTACTAGGATGCACAGAGCAGCGGAAGGTCAATCATACAAGTCGCTGAACGTGTATAATGTTCCCAACACCAATGACATCATATGCCAGGTGTTCTGAAAATCGCTGGGAGGTGACTTGGCGATGGGGGAGTTGAAGTATTCTTGGATGGCGGAGGAGAGGATGGAGGAACAGAGGATGTAGAGGTTTGTTGCGGTGCGTGGGAGGGGTTTGGGCGAGTAGTTGGGGATGTAGGGGCCATGCTTAAAGGACAGGTCGAGGGTAATGTTGTTCCTGTGGCCGAGTTGGGGGTGAACTACGCGAGGCTCTAGGTAGACGAATAGGTCTCGTGTCATTGTTGGTGAGAGTTGCAATGTAAGCAGCTGACCGTTGTGGTTTCACTTGTCCGTAAGGGTAGCGTTCGATCATGGCAGTCGATCGTTATTCAGGCAAAAGGTGGCAGATGTACTTTCTCGTGCCCCATTGACATCATCTGAGAGGAAAAAATTCACTGGATTCTAGCAGTATGACGTGTCGTTGGTATTTCGAGATGCTCTAGGTCTGGCACAGGCTGCAGGCTGCGAGGATGTAGAGAGCGGAATGCTGGAGGACGCATAGTTAGGTGATCATTGTTAGTCATTGGGCTCAGGGCAACATAGCTATGTTCGTACTGGGCAGAAAGGGTGTGGTTTGAGGTAAAGCCAGTAAAATGAGCGCGATGCACGTGTACCGAATATTTCCCACGCCGTACGCGCTCCTCTCAACACGAACTCTCCTGGACATAGGCCATATACAAATTCGAACGTGTAAAAGTGATAATGACGATTAACAACTCCGAAACCGACACGCAGAGGTCGGCTTCTTCAATGAGCTTAGCTTCAAGGGCCAGCCACGCTTGAAACATGTACGTGTATGATTCAACAAGACCTCGTGCGCAAAAATCATATACGATGTTTACTGTGTACCAATTCAGATGCATACGAAGTCACGAAGATAAAAAAATCTGGCAGTGACGAGAACATGACAAGAATCGATACAGGTGAGCATTCTTCGAGATACCACCATCCGCCAAAGAAGTCGCAATCGAAGCGCGAGTAAGTCCGTTCAGCGCAGGACACCCTACACCTATCTTTGCATCGTATTCACTAGGTCTTCGCGTTCAACTTTCACACAGAACTACGGCAACAGCCCTCTTGGCCCTACACCTTTCTTCATGGCTCCCGAGTCTTCGATGCAGGTAACTGCTTATCTATCAAGAAATCTGGGAATCTTCGTAGGAGAGGACCGCACTATCACGTATTTGCGGTTTCTGAGTGGACGTGCTGGTGTGTACAGGGTGACGTGCTGCTCAACGCCGGCGTATCGACGTTCTTCCTTCCTCCCATACAGCCACGCACTCCTTCTCACACACTCTCCCTAGTCGCTCCGGCAACCACGTACGTCCGCTGATCTGGCCTCTTCCCCATTCTGGCACCCCCGCAGTCCGCAACGCAATCGACGTTCGCCTCCCCCTGTACAAAATCCGGCATCGACTCGGGCTTCGTCCCCATCCCCGCCAACAGCACCCTCTTTGGCCAATGGACTTTCACTGTCGACAATTCCTCTACGCCGCTGTGGTTTTTCTGCGCACAGGCGGGTCATTGTGAGAAGGGCATGGTCTTTGCGGTTAATCCCACCCAGGACAAGAGTTTTCAGGCATTTTTGGCTAATGCGCAGGGAAACGAGACGGGTGCTTCCAGTGCGGGTGGTTCTTCCACGATCGGTGCGAGCGCGTCTGGGGTGGTTTCGACTACTGCGGGGGCCGCGGCTTCTGCTTCAAGTAGTACCAACGGTGCTGCTGCCTCTAGCACCGCCAATGCTAATACCACCAGCAACGGCGCCGTTCCCAGTCTGCGCATACATCGTGTCGTACTCACAATAGTGGCTCTGGCTTTTGGCACCCTTCTTTAGAAGCTTGTACAAGAATACAAGACATTCTTTTCGACGCTCGAATGTATGAAAGACTCGAGGATACCTGACACATATGACGGAACAAAGAGACCAGCGGTTTATTCGTGAACTGATACAGACAAATGATGTATCTTCAGCATGACATCCTTACGACTAGAGGGGAGCTTGGAAAACTAGGGATCACTCGTCCATTGATTCGATAAGGAAATTGATATCCCCACGAAGCGAACCGTGGGCCCGGGCTATGTAAACCCCTCGAAACGCGACTATGCCACGTATTATACCAAAATAACCACCATAACTAACGAGTCATAGGCTGTCCACTTCCCTTGTGCGCATCACTTCAAGAGATGGCTCCAGCGAAAAAGTTCTGCTTTCCCATCCCGGCGGTGTTGGAGAGCGAGCGCGTCAAATTGGTGCCTTTCAATGTAAGCCAGTGGGGGCCTTGAAGATATGATAATTGTTGATGCTCACGTTGTGTCAAGCTCGCTGTTCACACGAAGCTATTAATCACATCCTGCTCTGATGTCAGCCTCTACGATTTCATCCCCATAGGTCCGTACAAGGATCAAGAAGAATTTATTGCCTCTTTCCGGAACGAGAAGGTGGAAGATAATAATGGGATGGCTATGTTTGCGGTGTATGACAAAACCAAAATCAAGGAGGAGGAGGGGTATGCAGGACTCGTCGGCTACGTGAACTCGTCAGCCCAAGATCTAGTCACGGAAATCTTCGTGATCATCGCTCCAGCATTCCAGAGGACACATGTAACGTCCAACGCTATCGGGATCCTCTTGAAATACGCACTTGATCTTCCTGAGGATGGCGGCCTCGGCTTGCGGAGAGTGGTTTGGCAGGCCAGTGCAGCCAATACCGCTAGTATCAGGACGGCGGAGAGGATGGGATTCCAGCAGGAGGGGGTTCTGAGGTGGCATAAAGCGTGGCCTGAGTCCAAGTCCCGTGGTGCGAATGGGACTCGTGTGAGAAAGGGAGATCCTAGGGAGGATGTGTTTCCGTTGGGACGGGATACGGTGGTTTTGAGTATATGTTGGGATGATTGGGAGGGTGGGGTGCGAGCACATGTTGAGGCGACGATGGCGCGAACAAAATAAGTAGCCATTCCCGTCAGTGCCAATTCGGACCAACTGGAGACGAGACCGTCATCCAGCGCCGCCCGCAAGTTATTTGTACTTCCCGAGTTCTTAATAACCCAGAATAACAACTACTAGGATGCACAGAGCAGCGGAAGGTCAATCATACAAGTCGCTGAACATGAGAGTGTGTATAATGTTCCCAACACCAATGACATCATAAGCAGATGTATCTCGGTAGCGTACAGCAGTGAGGTGCCATGTATTCTGAAAGTCGCTGGGAGGAGGTGACTTGGCGATGGGGGAGTTGAGAAATTCTTGGATGGCGGAGGAGAGGATGGAGGAACGGAGGATGTGAAGGTTTGTTGCGGCGCGCGGGAGGGTTTTGGGCGAGAAGTTGGGGATGTAGGGGCCATGTTTAAAGGACAGGTCGAGGGTGATGTAGTTCCTGTGGCCAAGTTGAGGGTGGACTGGGCGAGGCTCGAGGTAGACGAACAGGTCTCGTGTCATTGTTGGTGAGAGTTGTAAGCTGACCGTTGTGGTTTCACTTGTCCGTGAATTGCAAGGGTAGTGTACTTCGATCATAGCAGTCGATCGGCATTCAGGCAAAAGGTGGCCGATATACTTCTTCATGTCCCATTGACATCATCTGAGCGGATAGATAAAAGTCCATGACACTGGAATTTAGCAGTTGTCGTTGGTACTTATTTTCGAGATGCTCTAGGTCTGGTACAGGCTGCAAGCTGCAAGGATGTAGAGAGCAGGACGCCGGAGGACATGCAGTTAGGTAATCATTGTGAGTTCTTGGGCGTAGGGCAACATAGCTCTGTCCGTACTGGGCAGAAAAAGTGTAGTTGGAGGTAAAGTCGGCACAATGAGCGCGATGCACGTGTACCAAATATTTCCCACGCTGTACGTGCTCCTCTCAACACGAACTCTCTTGGACTACCCTTGGACATAGGTCATATACAAGTTCGAACGTGTAAAAGTGATGATGACGGTTGACAACGCCGAAACCGACACGCGGAGGTCGGCTTCTTCAACGAGCTTCAAAGGCCAGTTACACTTGAAAGGTGTACGTATAATTCACCAAAACGTCGTACACGAAACTCATATACGATGTTTACGGTGAACTAATTCAGACGCATGCCAAGTCACGAAAAGAAAGCAATATGGCAGTGAGGAGAACATGACAAGAATCTGTACAGGTGAGCATCCTTCGAGATACATACCACCGTCCCCCCAAAGAAGTCGCAATCGAAGCACGAGCAAAGTCCGCTCAGCGCGGGACATCCTAAGTACATCTATCTTTGCATCACATACACTATGTATTCACGTTCAACTTTCACATAGAACTACGACGGCCACATTGGACATTACCTCTCGCCTCACACCTTTCTTCATGGTTTCCGAGTCTTCGATGCGGATAACTTGCATACCAAGAAATCTGAGAATCTTCATGGGCTGAGAGGACGTCTCTGAGGTTTCTGATTGGATGTGCTGGTGTGTACAGGGTGGTGTATCGTATCGTCACAGTTCGCTGGATATTCGAACAGCATGACATCCTTACGATACAGACCTGCTTAGCTGGTATTGCATAGTCTTCCGTACCGTTGAGTTCTGTCGTCTGTATACCAAAGAAGCACCGTGGCGCTAGAGTCGGAACCTTCGTAAGGATAATATGTGCACACTTTAATAGACCGCACTTGTGATAGAATCTGCTTGCCACCCACCGATTGTCGGTACGAATGACTGCACGTTCGTACGCACGATGCATTATCCACTGCTGTGTCCGGCTTCTAACACCGCACTCCAGCATATCTCATAGTGTCGCCGTTGCGATGAGATTCGTGGAAGGACTTCACCGGAATGCCTATAGTAGTTGCGAGCAAGTTTGGGCCGATTCTTCCTGAGGTTCCCATCGGTTGACATGGTGTTGCTCAAGCTTCAGAGTTGCTATGCGCCAATACATGGTTCTAAAACCTGCGGAATAAGATATCAGGACCGAAGAACATGATCGATCAGACCAGGAAGCTGCAACACTTTCCTCGTCCTCCGGTAATCACCACCACGCCCGGATATCACATTAAAAAAACACAAACATTTCGACCCTCTTTGCTTCTATCGTTCCGTAATTGCATCTTTTTATGCAGCTTGGCATGATACACTGATATAGGGTGAAACAGCAGAGTATATATAACATGATCAAGAACTCACACGAGTCCCCATCCAACACGCTTTGGGAGAATGGAACTATCCCCCATCCAAGCGCCGTGTCTCCGCCGCAGTATCTCATCAAAATCATTGCCAGCTGTCATGGCCAAAGTGCATGAGCGCGTGTATATTACTGGCCGGGGCTGGGCTCCAACTGCTAAATGGAACTTTAGGGAATTAAATCGATCCATTGGGAGGTACTTTACTCACCTCGCGAATGACACGAGCTGTCCCCGCGGCCCCGGTGTATCAAAGTAACTTCGACTGGGCCCAATTCCAAGGCAGATAGGATTGCGATACGTGCGCACCCATGCTTTCTCTGTACATATTTGGAGTAGAAATCGAACGACAGATTGTTTCGAGCGCCATGTCTCCGTAGTGCATCAAAATCACACGCGCGCTATTCGCAGAACTGGCTCGTGTACACGCGTGCTAAGCGAGAATGAATGATGCAGGAACGAGTGGCCTTGCCTGTCTTTAGGCCGTGCCCGCGTTAAGCGTACAGGATGATCTTTCCTTGGTGAGCTACGAGGATATAAGAAGACGTGAGATAAAGTAGTTCTTTTTCGATACGCACAAACTTTCCGATGTGATTCTTTTCCTTCTCCCACGACGGCCTGTGTTCATGCGAATCTCTTTGTGATGAACATTGCGTGAAGCCCTTGTTCACTGGCATGACGTCTCCACGGCAAAAACATGAATACCGGTGCTTTGTGGGAAGTTCTGTAGGCGGCCAAGTTGCGCCATATCAAGGTCATACACTCTTCTCTGGACGCTGTGTCGCCGTCGCATCATCAGAATCAGAACGAGTACACGCCGGAATACCCAGATTTCGTCCCCCGTAAGAGCGTGCAGTGAACAACGGGGTTGGATTTGGTCCGAAGAAAAAGCTTTTCGTGTTTGGAGAAGGGGGGGGGTCCCTAAATTCAAGGCTCGGACTTATGTACATGTGTAGAGTCGAGCTGTGCATTTATCCTCCTCGTGGAGTGATCTCTTGCGATAGCCGGAAACTTTCGTAAATATGCTCGGTGGAAAATAAGCGAGGCTCGGTAGCGTATGGCCGGGGCCTGAGTAATGCGCTGGTAATTAACCGGTAGCGTCCTTACACTTGAATGAAACTTTACAAAAATGCAAGGAGAATAAATGGAGGACTTACCAAGACGAGGAGGAGGACTGTTGATGGCTGTTGACTCGACATCAGTAACGGAAATTCAAAGTCCGCTGATCCAGCTTTCCACCTTCGACCCTTGACCTCCTCTCCTTTTCTTCAAAAGGTCAGCTGCACGAGCCTCTTCCCTGGGTCTCACCTCATCCTCATTTCCAGCTTCCTTTCCTTGTAATCCAATCTAAAATATCCCTTATCAACATGAATGCCCGGCCTCACAAAGTGCGCCTCGTTCTCTTGGTTTTGGAATGTTGGCTGATAGAGATTACTAGCAATCAATGTCTGAGCTGAAGCTTCGACGGTTAACTGAGCATAACCAGCGGCTGCGGGAGGACCTTGCGAGGCCTAGGGTGCGAGTGAGTGAGGCAAGCGCGAGGTACGGGTCCAGATATCTCCTTTCCGTGCAGCGGTGACAACTTTTGCCGATTTTGTTAGTTTGATACGTTACTGCAAGACAACGAAAGATCATCTCGTATGCCCATTGCCTTGTTGTTGCTCGCTAACTAGCTCACGGCTGTTGTTGTAGGTGCCCTCAGTATGGGGACCAGTCGGAAAGGGAGAGGATCCGTACGCACCGCCAGCGCAGGGCTGCAGTTGTGTCGTTATGTGATTGCTCTCTGTTGTTCCAGTTTTTCTACTTGGATTTTTCACCACTCATGGAGGAGTTGTCCGTTACTTCGGAATTTGTACCAAGGCAGACATGATATTCGGATTGCCCCTCAACAAGCCAACCCTCACACTCGTTTACCCTTTACCAACAGGATACCCATCCACCGATCCTGTTCGGGTTGGCATCCAATAATCATCAATATCCAGTTTTCATCCAGTTTTCACGTCTACATTATTTTTCTTTGCTGCTGCTTTCTTATCATCATCATCATTCGGTATATCATCAGGTCGTTGCATTTACTATAAATTTATTGGTCATCGACTCGATTCGCTTGTCCCGTCCACCGTTGTCCGAATTCTATGTTAGATATTAAAGTAGACTGTCTATAGCCAGCGTGGAACGCGAATCATAACATAAATATGGGCGGACAAGCCAAACTTGGAAAAAAGGAAAAAGGTGTGATTTGCAGTGCTGATATAATACCCGCTTTTGATGCCGAGTATATATGTATCTTTGCCTGTGACGACCAAGCACCCATCTTATAGCCAAAGGATACCGTCGCTCACGGTTTCCTTTGCATCTTAATTGCCCACCCTGAGTGAGCTGTCCGTTCTATCGTAATATTCGCGCCGCTTGCTCACCATTTCTGCCAAGATCGTGAATACCGTCAGCCTCGATCACCCCCTATGAGCACCCGTACAGGAGGCCGCCAGGCCATGTCCGAGCTCAAGCTCCGTCGGCTGCTGGAG